AGCGCGCTCGCCTGGCATGCGTGCGGCCCGGGTTCAATCCTCAGCACCACATACCAACAAAGATGTTGTGTCCGCCGAGAACTAAAAAATAAATATTAAAAATTCTCTCTCTCTCTCTCTCCTCTCTCACTCTCTCTTTAAAAAAAAAAAAAGTTAACTATATTTACAGGGTTAAAAAAAATCATTTATATTTCACAAACTCAACCTCAGGCCCTAGGATGACCAGACATCCTAGTTTTACTCAGACTGTCCAGGATTTAGCTCTGAAAATCCTCTGTCCTGGAAAATTCGTCAGTACTGAGAAAACCTTGATAACTAGTCACCCTATTTGGCCTAGAAACATTTCCTGCTCTCCTTTATTAAAGCCACCTGATTCTTCGAGGTATGAAGATAGCAGGCAACTTTGCTAATTTTGCATGTTCGTTACTGCTACATTTCTTAACATTTATGAACTGCTGGGGTTTTGAGCAAGAAGGAAGTTGAGAGATCTTGCTCTACAACATCTCATTTTACAGATGAATAAAATCTCAATTGCATTGGCAAGATTAAGCCATCTTCGTTCCACTCTGGCTGCTGTGGTCCCAGATTTCTGTAATGTCTTCAAATATCTCCTTTCCCACTAATTAAAAACAAACCATTATGTTGGAACATCAGCTACAGTAACAGGAAAAAGTAGCAGTCAGTTAGTTTTAAATTGTCCAATAATCTTTTTCTAACGCCTCTATTTGCGTCATAGGCATTTTAACTTCCCTCGTGTCTAAAGTTCAATGTCTCTCATGGATTACTCATATTATCTGAGTGTGAAAATAAATATGGTCAGGTTAATTAGCATCAATTTTAATAAGATCCCAAAGTAATTTTACACCATGCTTCCTGGGGAAAAAAAGAAATTAAACTTGATAACTGGGATGATGGCATCTAAAATAGAAACTCTGCATGAAAGAAAGAAAATAAACATAGTAAAGGAAGGAAGATATTGGGTGTATTATATATGATTTATAGATAAGGCTTTCTTTTCAGCATTGTTGCAATAGGGCTTTGTAATTTTGCTTGCAGAGGAAGTCGGAGTCTTGGTTCCCCAAAACAGACCAACTTTGAGGGCTTGTTGAAACATCAAATACTTGGCTCCTATACTTGCTCATTTCTGATTCAGTAGGTCAGGGCTAGAGCCTGGGGAATATGTATTGTTAATAAGTTTCAAAGACTATTTAGATGCATTTGGCCAATGAAATTATGTCTAGGAACCATTTAACTAGGCTATTTGAAAAGCCTTCCATATTTTTCACTGAAGGAAAAAATATATAGTGATCATTTCTCAGACTTTTTTGAGATGGCAGGTATCATGGATCATCCTTCAAAAAGGGGAAAATTGAAATCAGAGTCATATCTTAATGTAAAAATATAAGAAGTGAGAATCTTAAAAAAATTTTTTTAGTTATAAATTACAGTAGAAGCCATTTTGATATATTTATATAAGTTTGGAGCATATCTTATTCTAATTAGGATCCCAGTCTTGTGGATGTACATGATGGGGAGATTCACTATAGTGTTTTCATATACATACATAGGAAAATTATGTCAGATTCACTTCACTGTCTTTTCTACTCCTATATCCCCTGACTTCCCTCCTTTCCCCTTTGTCTACTCCACTGAACTTCTATTCTTTCCCTCCCCACCCCCTTGTTGTAGGTTAGCATTCACATTTCAGAGAGAATTTTTTACCTTTGATTTTTTTTATTTTTTTATTTATTTATTTATTTTTTAATATTTATTTTTTAGTTTTTGGCAGACACAACATCTTTGTATGTGGTGCTGAGGATCGAACCCGGGCCGCACGCATGCCAGGCGAGCGCGCTACCACTTGAGCCACATCCCCAGCCCTGATTTTTTTTTTAGATTGGCTTATTTCTCTTAGTATGATAATCTCCAGTTTTATCCATTTACCAGTAAATGTCATAAAAGTCATTCTTATTTATGGCTGAGTAACATTCCATTGTGTATATATACATCATAATTTCTTTATCCATTCATCTGTTGATGGACATCTGGGTTGATTCCATAGCTTAGCTATTGTGAATTTTGCTGCTATAAACATTGATGTGGTTGTGTCACTGTAGTATGCTGATTTTAATTCCTTTGGGTATAGACTGAGGAGTGGAATAGCTGGATCAATGGTGGTTCCATTCCTATTTTTTTGAGGAATTTTCATACTGGTTTCCAGAGTGGTTGCACTAATTTGCAGAACCACAAACAATGTATGAATATACCTTTTTCCCCACATCCTCACCAACATTTATTGTTACTTGTATTTTTGATAATTGCCACTCTGGTTGGAGGGAGGTGAAATCTCACTGTAGTTTTAATTTGCATTTCTCTAATTGATGTTGAATATTTTTTCATATATTTGTTGATAATTTGTATTTCTTCTTCTGTGAAGTGCCTGTTCTGTTCCTTTGCCCCTTTATTGATTGAGTTATTTGGTTTTTTTTGGTTGTTAAGCTTTTTGAGTTCTTTAGTATATTCTAGAAATTAATACCTTATCTGAGATGCAGGAAGTAAAGATTTCTCCCATTCTGTAGGTTTTTTCTTCACATTCTTGATTGTTTTCTTTGCTGTGAATCTTTTTAGTTTGATATTACCCCGTTTATTGATTTTTGCTTTTACTTCTTGAGCTTTAGGAGTCTTGTTAACGAAGTTGATTCCTAAACTGACATGTTGGAGTGTTGGGGCCTACCCTTTCTTCTGGCAGGTGCCTGCACCTGATCTGATCTTCTTGGAGTTGAGTTTTGTGCAGGGTGGGAAATAAGGATTCAATTTCATTTTACTACATATGAATTTCCAGTTTTCCCAGAACCATTTGTTGAAGAAATGATCTTTTTCTCCAATGTATGTTTTTGGTGCCTTTGTCTAGTATGAGATAACTGTATTTGTTTGGATTAGTCTCCGTATTTTCTATTCTATTCCATTGGTGAGAAGTTAGAATCTTTACACTGCACTTAATTTTTTTTTATAGTTTTAGATGGACACAATTCCTTTATTTTATTTGTTTATTTTTATGTGTTACTGAGGATCAAACCCAGTGCCTCATGCATGCTAGGCAAGTGCTCTGCTGCTGAGTCCCAGCCCTACCCACCCTGCATTTTTACCTCTAAGAATACTTTAAGATCCTGAAACTAGACCTGCTATAAAGTATGAGGATGTAATCCACCAGAGGGCATATATTCGGCACTGTGCACAACGATTTGTACATTTTGCACTTGACCATAATAAAGAGAGAGTAGAGATAACTCCTAGAAACTTCCCAGAGTCCAGCATTTTTCAACCTTGTCTATCTTGTACTATAGAGATTGTCCAATCACAGTCACATGAAGAAATAATGGCTGGAATCTTTAATTCACTCTCTGTTATGGAAGTACTTCTTAAGTGTATGTTTACATGGCCAGGTGCATATACCCACATACCCTGAAAAGTCCTTTGGGAAACAAACACAGGGCCCAAAGTTCTTAATTAACAGAGTGGATTCCCCAGCTCTGTCACCTAATGATGGAGCAGAAGATGTGCTTAGTAATTAATTGGGTGAACTGTAAAACTGGAATCCTGACCACTTGTGGTCATTAAAGATCCCAGGGTACTTTCTTTATGGCAGGTGGAGTTCTGGACAAATTCCAACTCTAATAATTAAATTACATTCTGCCCAGCTTCCTTGTACACATTCAATTGGACTCTGTTCCTTTTCTGTCCTTAATTGTAGTGGACTTGTATATTAGTAGAGAAATCCTGAATGCCTGCAGTATATCCCCTAATTTATGAAGTGGGATTCACTGGGTTAGCGATCAAGAAGCACATTTTTGGGGGCTGGGTTTGTGGCTCAGCGGTAGAGCACTTGCCTAGTATGGGCGGGACCCGGGTTTGATCCTCAGCACCACATAAAAATAAAGGCATTGTGTTGTGTCCATCTACACCTAAAAAATAAATATTTTTTAAAAAAGAAGCACATTTTTGTCTAAAGGGGGGGAATTGTTGAATTGGTATCTAAAGACATGGTACCACTCCTGAAAAATTAAACCTATTAAACATTTCAGGATATAATAGGTCATAACCTATTAGCTTTTAGAGGCCATTTTTGCCTGTTCCTTTTATAGAAGATGTTGTTCTATAAATCAAATAATTAATAGACATACTTTATTAACAGACCAAGTCCGCATGTTTAACAACAACAAAAAAATCACAAAACTAAAATGATACCAGTCACTAGAATAGAAGTAGAGATAAGAACACTGAAATAAACTGAGAATCAATTGATGATTTGAAATTTGTTGATGCTGAATTTGTCCTCATGTGTTTCATTAAAAATAATTAGTCTGCTTCTAATCTACTATGTTTTTCCAAAGTGAGGAAGTTTGGAAGGCAAATGTGTTTTCTTTTGACAGTCATATTTTGTTGTTGTTGCCAGTTGATTTTACAAATAAAAATGCTTTTTTCTTTTTTTAAATAAATTTTATTATATATAATATAAATATAAAAATAATATATATATCTCCATCATAAGGTACACATATAGTGAAATGATTACTGTATTGGAATAAATTAATAATCTCATATAGTTATCCACCCCTGCCATAAGAAGAGCAGCTATAATCTCCTCATTTCATAAAAATCCAGAATAAACCAGACTATTTTAAAAAATAATTTTTTAGTTGTAAATGGATGCATTACCTTTATTTTATTTATTTATTTTTATGTGATGCTGAGGATCAAACCCAGTGCCCCACATGTGCTAGGCAAGTACTCTACCACCAAGCCACAACCCCAGCCCTGAACTACACTATTTTTAAAGATATCTTTTTTATCTTTTATTTGTTCTTTTTAGATATACATGACAGAAGAGGGTATTTTGACGTATTATATATACATGGAGTGTAACATTGTAATTAGGATCCCACTCTTGCCGTTGTACGTGATGTGGAGTTTCACTGGTGATATATTCATATTTGAACATAAAAAATATGAAACGCTTCATGAATTTGTGTGTCATTCTTGTGCAGGGGCCATGCTAATCTTCTCTGCATCATTCCAATTTTAGTATATGTGCTGCTGAAGCAAGCACCAGAATGAACCACACTATTAATTATAGTCGCATATTATACGTTAGACTTTTTGACTTATTTTGATCTACTTTGTTCCTTTTGATCTAAATCTCCCCTAACCCTCTCCCTAACACTAATTCTGTTAACTAGTGTTTTATTATCTATCTCCATATATTCAACTTTAAAAAAAGATTTCATTTATAAGTGTGATAACTTTCTATGTCTGGCTTCGTTCACTTAGCATAATGTCCTCCAGATCCATCCAATGTCATGGAAATGGCAGGATTTCTTCCTTTAAGAAAAAAAAGATGAATAATAATCTCTCTCTCTCTCTCTCTCTCTCTCTCTCTCTCTCTCTCTCTCTCCCTCTCTCTCTCTCCCTCTCTCTCTCTCTCTCTCTCTCACACACACACACACACACATTCTCCCCCCCACCCTCCAATTTCTTTACCCATTTATCCATTGTGAATAATACTGCAATGAACTTGGAAGTACAGATGTCTTTAGTAAGTGGCGATTTCATTTCAATTGGATATGTACCTAGAAAGGGGATTGCTATTGTATGGTAATTCTCTTTCTAATTTCTTCAGAGTCTCCATATGGTTTTCCACAATGGCTGTACCAATCCATATTACCACCAACACTGTACAAGGGTTCCCTTTTCTCTACATCCTCACTAACATTTGTTATCCCTTGTCTTTCTGATAGTAGCCACTCTAACAGGTATGAGGTGGTAACTCATTGTGGTTTTGATTTGTGTCTCTCTGATGATAGATATTGGTGAAGACCTTTTAATGTACCATAGGTCCATTTTTATGACATTTTTGGAGAAATGTCTGTTTAGTTCCTTTGCCTATTTTTAAATCAGGTTATATGTTTTCTTGCTCTTGAGTTGCATGAGTTCTTTATAAATCTTGGGCATTAATCTCTGATATGTAATGTGCAAATACTTTTTCCCAGTGTGCAGGTTGCCTTTTCATTTTGTTGATAGTTTCCTTTGCTGTGCAAAAGCTTTTGAGTTTGGAGTAGTCTCATTTATTTTTATTTTCTTTTGTAGTTTGAGCTTTTGGTTTTATAGAAAAGAAATCATTGCCAAAGTCAATGTCAAGGAACAGCAATAAATTTAGCCAACAAGGTGAAAGATGTCTACACTGAAAACTGTAGAACATTGATGAAAGAAATTGAATAATAAAAAATACATAAATGGAAAAAGTATTCATATTTATGGATCAGAAGAATTAATATTATTTAGATGTTCATACCACTTTAAAGAATATATAAATTCAATGCAATCCCTATCAAAATCCCAATGGAAATTTTCACAGAAATAGATTAACAATCTTAATTTGTATGGAGCCACAAAAGATCCCAACAGCCAAAGAAATTCTGATGAGAAAAACAAAAACATATTTTGTCACTTCTTGACTTAAAATTATATTACAAACCTATAGCAATCGAAACAGTATCGTACTAGCATAAAAACAGGCATACAGACCAGTGGAACAGAACAGAGAGCCAGATGTAAATCCAAATATATATGGTTAACAAATTTTCCACAAGGGTGCCAAAACAGTGGGAACAATTCCTTCAATAAATTATAATGGGAAACTGGATTTACTCATAGGAAAAAAAACACTATACACAAAAAATTAACTTAAAATGGATTTAAACCCTAAATATAAAACTTGAAACCCATAAAACTCTAACAGAAAAAAAATCTTTTTAAACAAACAAGAAAGCAGTGACTTGTATATTTACTGAAAAGAGAGTACTATTATGTGGTGAACAACCTCCCTTATTATTTAGCAGGTTGTCCATTTCAGGGAATCAAAATTCTCTCAAAAATATTTTAAACATATGAATGAAATATTATATTCTCATTGCTGATTCCATTTAATATGTACTTAATGTACACTCTGGGCCAAAAAGCCCTTTATTTGGAATACTGAGTAACTCATACATATTCAGAAAAGCAAAATGTACTTCCCAGTTTATGTGGTTTGTCAACATGTTTGAGAATAAATCCAGTTGGAGATGGTTTTTGTTTGCTTTTGTTTCTATTGTTAAACTAATTTTTGTTTTAGATAATATACCTAGCTCAAAATTTTCCAACCTTTAAAACAAAAATAAATCAACACACACTCACTACCTCCCCATGCTTAAATTTGAGAATTTTGTAATCATTTTCTGTGCATCTTCTCTCTGAACCACAGTAAATATTGCTTTATTATACTAGATTAACGAAGGAAAAAAGAGATCGGAATCAGAAAGCAGACAACAGCTGGTTTTCATTGTAAGGAAAGTGGTTTTATTACCTGGGTTAATGTGAAAAAAAAATTTTGAAACTAAATTAAGAATGCTTATGAAAATGTTCTAAGAATAAATGTATTCCTGTAATGGAAAGAGATAAATTTTTAGCCTGAGAAGGTCTTTAAATAGGGAAGTTCTCAGAAATATGACTTGTAAATGATTTCCTGTGCTTGAAACAAAATATATGTAGTAGGGATTATTTGTTTGTTTTAATGGAACTTAAAAATGCATACAGAAAGGGGGGAAAAAGGAAGAAATAATATATCAGATTATGCTATTTCTGTTAGCTTTTGTGGAACTGGGAATTGAAACGAGGGATACTCTACCCCTGAGCTACATTTCCAGCAATGTACCACCACCTATTTCTGAGACAGGGTTTCCAAATAGCTGAGGCTATCTTTAAACTTTCGATTCTCCTGCCTCTGCTGAGATTACAGGAGTTCTGTGCTGTTTCTTACAAAGGTTTAAAATGACTTAATGGAACTCTGTGTGTGTGTGTGTGTGTGTGTGTGTGTGTGTGTGTGTGTATGTGTGTGTGTGTGTAATTCTGTAGTTTAAAATGTTTTCTAATTTTCATTATTTTTTCTTCTTTGACTCATGTGAAATTCAGAAGTTTATTTCTTAATTTAAAAATATATTTTCTAGTTGTCTTTTTATGATTAATTCCAGCCTAAATTGTGTTTGGATATCATATACTGTATTTCTTTTTCTTTAGTGGTTTCCCTAGAAATTGCAACATGAATAATTTATCAAGGTCCAAAGTAAGTTGGTACCTTTATCTCTTTCTTGTACAACTTAAGGTCCTTAGGTACCTTAACCTTGTTACTTCACTCCTGTCTTACATCATATTGTTGTCATGAATTAATTAATTACAGAATATTACCATTATTGTTATTATAAAGATAATGTTTATTTCATTTTATCTGCATACTTAACCCTTAATTTTGCTCTGCATTTGTTTCCACTTTAGCATTCTATCTGGGAATACTTTCCTTTTGACCAAAACATATCTTTTAGAATGTTTTTTACTGAAAATCTATTTGTGATGAAGTATATTTATTATTGCTCATGTGAAAAGATCTTTATTTGTCTTTGTGAAACATTACTGAAACATTACATCTTTATTTGTCTTTGTGAAACACTGTACCATTGTAATTGTCAAATATTTTCTTTGGCATACTAAAGATATTATTTCATGAGGCTGTGGATGTAGCTCAGTGTAGAGCATCTTGCCTGGCATGCATGAGGCCCTGGGTTTGATCCCCAGCACTACAAGAAGAAAATATTATTCCATAAATTCTGATTTCTTTTCATTTAAAAAGTGCTGATCACTTTTTAATCACACTGTAACTACACAGGACTTCAGAGGAAGGAGATAGGAGAAGGCTTTACAGACCAATTAGGATTTGATTTTGTTATAGAAGGACAGGCAAGGTATGTTTGGAAGAGCAGACAAAGAGTGAATTTCAGAGAAGTGGAATGATGTGTCAAAAATAATTGTAGAGCACAGAGGATTTTGAGGTTAGTGAAACCATTCTGTATGATACAATAATGGTAGATACATATCATTATACATTCATCTAAACTCATGGAAAGTACACCACCAAGAGCGAACCCTAATGTAAGCTTTCGGTGAGAAGTGGTGTGTGAGTGTGCTTTGATTGTAACAAAGGTATCACCCTGACATGAAATGTTGGTAGTGAGGGAGACCATGTATATGTAGTGGCAGAAGGTATGTAAGAGCTTCTATACTTTCTGCTCTAAAAGTAGTCTATCAAAGAAAAAATATACACAAACTTTTATATATCACAGTGTTACTATTATAGAAGTTAGCTATTATCCTATTATTCATTTGTAGTTAATTTCCTTTTTTTCTGTACAGCGGGTTGAACCCAGGATCTCATGTATGCTAGGTAAGTGCTCTACCACTGAGCTACATTCCCAATCCTTTTAATTTTATATTGAGATAGGGTCTCTTTTTTTTTTGTGGGGGGTGGGGTACCAGGGATTGAACTCAGGGGCACTCGACCACTGAGCCACATACCCAGCCCTATTTTGTATTTTATTTAGAGACAGGGTCTCACTGAGTTGTTTAGCACCCCTCTTTTGCTGAGGCTGGCTTTGAATTTATGATCCTCCTGTCTCAGCCTCCTGAGCCACTGGGATTACAGGTGTGTACCATGGCACCCAGCCAAATTACCTAGGTTGGCCTTGAATTTGGATCCTCATATCTCAGCCTCTGAATAGCTGGGATGAGAGATGTGTGCCACTGCTCTGGACATAATTTCCCTTTTATCTCGGCATGCTTTTACAATATTTTGTTGTGGTTGTAGTTGGGAGTTCTGCAGTTTCATCAGGATGAATATCAGTTTGAATTTCATATTATTCTGTTTGAGACTTGTTTGGCTTTAATCTGAGGAGTAATATCTTTCATCAGTTCTAGGAAGTATTGCTTCTTTAATATTGTGAAACATTCTCACTTCATTTTCTGTTTCTTAAACTTATTAGCAGGTTTAGTATTTTCATCTTTACATTCCTCAATAATTTCTTATAATTTTACTGTCAGCTTTATCTAATCTGCTTTTAAATGGATCCATTGAGTTTTAAAAATATATTTTTGGAAGTTCTGCTTGTTTCTTTTAAAACATTGTGCCACTTGCTTTTTATGTTTTCTTCTGCTGCTGATGTTTGCAAGCTGTTTTTCTGTGTC